CTTTCCCTCTGCAGCCAAGAGTAAAAATGCTTGATTGAGCTTTGGATTTCAGGCTCTGATGGGAATTCAGGCTCTGACTCTGGCATGTAGGGTTGAACATAGAACTTTCTTCTTTAACTCAAAGATTTAATGGAGTCTCCAAAGATGGCTGTTTTTTCAGTCCAAGCTTTTTTTTTTTCCCCCCCTTCCCCATTTTATAGTCTAAAGAGAAATGGCTATAGTTTAATGAAGTTGGTTCTGGAGGTTTCCCAGGTCAGGATGTACCAGCTCTCATGGCAAGTGACTCTTAGGTCTTTTTTTTTTTTTTTTTTTAAGTTTCTTTATTTCTTTTGTGTGTGTGTGTGAGAGAGACAGAGACAGTCAGATAGAAACAGGTAGCCCTGACAGTCTCACCAAGCCCTCTTCCTTCCCCCCCAGTTGGGATCGTGGGTGCACCCAGATGTTCAAATTGACATGGGATTCAAGCCCAGGGTCTTCCCATGTAATACCATTAGCACTCATAGGTGCCCTACAACCTATACCATGTGGCTGGGCCCCTTTAGATCGTTACTAACCACTAAGACCCTATCACTGTGCTCTGAGGAGATAATAGGTAATGATGGGTCTGAAGTGAGGCTTCTCTAGGGACAGGGACATGCTTGAATCGAGACCACCAAGCCAAGTGCACTGTGCTCGTGTGGAGTAACTTGTTTGGATGGGCACATGGTGCTCTGTTTTGTCTTCTAGTTCACTGTCCAGTCATCAGAGCAGCCTCTCCTCTTCGCACGCAGCATTGTCCTCAAGCACGTCATACACAGTAAGTGTCCGGGGACTCTCTTGTCCACACCCTGCATATTGAGGTTGGAGCTTAGGCACATAGTCACATGCAGGTAGAGCTTTAGTTTGTTGATTTTAAGTATTTATGGTGATCAAGACTCTCAGTTTGAATGCAGTGTCTTGATTTAGTTATGTGGTTTTAGCTGCTGATTTTCCTAAGCATGGAGGACACTTTGCTTCCTTATTCATGCTTTCTTAGAAGAAGCATTTCTCTAGACATAATATGTTGTTGGCAGGGGTGTCAGGTGGTGAACATGGTCTCAGAAATTTGTTTAGCCTTCTGTTTGTTACAGCAGAAGAGGTTCTGTTTTCTGGGCCTTGTTATTCTGAGGTATTTGTAAGATTTCTGGAAAAATAAGCTCATTGCTAATTCCAGCACAGGCTCCACTAACAACCAGGTTTAATGAAGATCATTGTTTCTCGTTAACCCTATGTTACTTTGTGGAGGCAATGGTTGGGAAGGACAAGGGTATGCTTAGGTGAGAAATATCCATCCTTTACCGTGAGCACACATGTCTCTCTGGGACCAACAGTACTTGCATTCCACTTTATTTATGGTTCCTTTTCCAGTGGTAGCCACTTGGGATCCTGTTTGGTCTTTTCTGTGTTATTCTCTGACTCAGAGGCAGAGACTTTGGGAAAGTCCACATTAAAGAAAGAAGTCTGGGGGCCAACAGATGGTGTAGCATTTATGTCCAGTCAGGTGGGGTAGCATTTGCATCACTGGACTCCCATGTGGTCGACCATGATTTGAGTCTCAGACACAGTGTCTTGAAACACCTGCCAGGTGTGTGTGCATGGGTCCCCAGGATCCTGGGAGGAAAAGGAAGGAGAAAGGATTGCAGTGTGACCATCCCTCTGGGGGGATGATTTCTTACTTTCCATCTCCCTGTCTCTTTCTCTCTGTCTCTCTTTGGCCAGTGCATGTACTCTAAGGCAAAAATATCTACTAATAAAAAAAGAAGGAAAAAGTCTGAAGAGAAGAAGGGCAGAAACAGAGGCAGAAGTACACTGTTGGGGAAGCAAAGTTGGGAAAGATTCAAGTAGGACTGCAGATCACAAAGTTTTGACATATGCCAAAGAGTAATCCTGGATTATGGTTATTGAAGTGTAGCTTAGTGAGTTTGCCATTGGGAGAATGGTTTTAAGTGCAAGGGGTCAGGCCGGATTGTGATGAGTGAGGAATGAATGGAGTGATAGAGAAGATGGGGTTGTGGGAGGCTCAACCAAATCTAAGAGGAAATTGAGCATATGGTAACTGGAAGGAAAGGTGCTTGGAAAGAACAAAATGTCCATGCTCTTGGGCAACAGGAAGCATCGGGCAAGGTTTAGTAGGCAGGCCCTTGAGCAGGGAGGAATCTGCATGGGGAGGGCAGGAAAATGATGAAAGAAGGATCAGCTCACCTGAAACGAGGTAATGAAAAAGCGGCAGTCCTATCCTTCCATCAGAATCTGGCTAACAATGTGGCTTTCAAACTCCATTCCAAGCGAAATCTTCTACATAGTCTTTTCATAAAACACACAGTCTAAGGTCAGCTGGTGGTATGATATTTAAGGCAGCAGCATCCCAAATGGCCAACTGTACAGTTCGAGTCCTGAACCTCCTGAACCCAGTGACATGAAAGCCATGCTAGGCACATGTGTGTGCATGTCTAAAATCTGAGAGGAGAATGGTAGAGAAGGGATTGTGATGTGGCTATTTCCCTAGGGAGATGATTTCTCACTTTCCCTCTCTCCTTGTCTCTCTGAAGTGAACGTATACACCCTATAGTAAATTAAACACACACACACACACACACACACACACACACACACACACACAGGCTGTCGTCCTCAGTGTACACCACAGAGTGGATGCTGCTGCCTCTCCATACACTTATCTCTGGGCTCATAGGAACAAGCTGCCCCCTCTCATCCTGAACTACATGGTGCTGGCCTCTCATGCTTTGTGGCACTGTTGCAGAGGTCCATTGCTCTTGTCCTCAGAGATAGTGCATTCTTTGTGTCTCATCAAAATCTCTACATCATAGAATTCAAACTGCCACAACCAGAATTGTCTTGTCCAATGAGTCCTATAGATTGTCAGTGTGATAGAATTGTCACAATGCCAGTATCATCTCTGTATTTCCTATGAAAAGCTATAAAAAGATACATTTAAAAGTTTTTCATCTCTTATAAGTTTGTGATATCTCACTTTGTCTTTCCTTTTTTTTTTTTTTTTTAAACTTTATTTACTTTATTTTTAATTTGACCAGAGAGAGACAGAGAGGGAAAGTGAGAAAGCAAGCCACCAGGGCTGGGACCCGAACCACGGTTAGCTATACGGGAGTCCAGCACCCTTAACCACCACGCCACTTGCCAGCCCCACGTTGTCTGTTTTTGATCATTATTTTTTAACTCATGAAACAAAACATGCACACAGGAATTTTTCCCTTTGCTTTCTGCCCTTTATTTTTTTTTCTGTATCACAAATGAGAGTATTCTATACACAGTGTTCTTTTTAACTTTTTTGATACTATAGCAGTTTTGCAGCTGATCACCTTCTATATATGTGTTATGTATGCAGCTCTGTCGGGTGGGTAAATCCTGGAGATAAGATTGCTAGGCATTTGTCATCTTACAGAAGCTGCCACATTGCCTTGCATAAGGATTTTAACCTATTCACCTCCTACTTGACAGTGAATGAAATGTCCTGTTTCCCCACAGCCTCCTGAAAATGGTTATTGAACTCTCATACTTTCTCAGGGTGTTAGGGAAAAAAATGGCCTATTAGTATACATGTTTTTGGAATTATTTTATTTAATTTTATTCATTATCATTATATTATTTTAAAAATTTGACCAGAGAGAGACAGAGAAAGAGAGAGAGACAGAGAAGGAAGGTGAGAAAGTAAGCTGCCAGGTCTGGGACTCAAACTACAGTCAACCATATGGGAGTCCAGTACACCATGACAGCTGCTGGCCACTGTTAGTATAAATTTTTTTTTTTTGGAGAGGTTTTCGCTATAGCGTGCGTGCGCTTGCCAGACAGACAGAGAGAGACATAGAGACAGAAAGTGAGAAATCACCCCCCAGGAGGAATGGTCACGCCGCAATCCCTTCTCCTCCATTCTCCTCTCGGGATTTTGGGCACGCACGCACACGTGCCCGGTGTGAGTTTTAAGCCACCGCGTCCGGGACGCGAACTGCGGTCGACTACGTGGGAGTCCAGTGACATAGCCATTACGCTAACTGCTGGTTCCCTTAAACCTTTTTTATGTTTGAAAGCCATTGAATTTCCTTTTCTGTGAGTTGTTTATATTTTCTGCTCATTCTCAGATAAGCCCTTAAGTCTTTTTCTAGGCACCCTCTATATTGGGTAGATTAGTAACCCTTTGTGGTGGGAGGTACAGATTTTTTTTAGGTTTGTCATTTATTAGTAATTTGATTTTTCATATAGTCAGCTGTCTTTTCTTTCATAGTCTTATCATGGTTAGGTCTTTCCCACTCTGACATTATAAAGGAAACCGTCCTTTCTTCTATCTTCACTTCTCTGTGCCCCACTGGATGGATTGAATGAGACCTTTTAAAAGAGGTATTATCCTGTTAGCCAGCAGTGTATACCCTCACAGTTCTTGGGGTGAGGGTGAGAGGCAAGAGCCCATTTGGGGGCAGCTGAAGAAAGGAGCTGAGTGATTGCAGGGTTTCTTTGAGCAAATCATGAACTGGTTCTCCTGCGAGTGTCTTTTGTATGCATGGGACTGCTCATTCACTGGGAGGACTGGCCAACCTGTTCTTGGTTCTTGGTGGGTGGTCTTGGTTAGGTCTGGCATCTTACAGAGGAAGTGGCTTAGGGGCTGGGCTGAGCAGTGTGCCTGCTAGAGTTCTTGCCACTCTGATTCTGGTTCACTGTGCTGAAGGGACTCCTGGAAACTGTTTTCAGCTGTCTTCACCCTGGTGGGTCTAATAGTTCTTGTGGTTCTTTGTTCTGTACCTCCAGACTTGGAGACTGGTCTTAGTGCTTTTTCTTATCTCTTTGGAACTCACTTTGCCCAGCCAGGTATATCTCTTTCACTTGCCCCTTGAGTGCTTGACACCCTTACAGTCCTTTGTTATAAGAATTGAGCTGCTGAGCAGGATTCCTGGAACTTAGGAGCCTGTGGAGCCTCCTGCTTGGTCTTGCCTTTCTTTCCTGGGTGGATCTTGTTGAGCAGGCATAACAGCAAGCCATGCCGTTAGTAAGCCCTGGTGAGGCATTTGTGGCTTACAGAGTGTCATCAGGTTTTGTAGTAAAGCCTCTTGGCCTCCTGTGGCTTACAGAGCAGAGTAGCTAAGAAGCCTAGTAGAGGGGATCCCCAAAAGACTCTGAACTGAGCTGGGATGCCTGTGACCTGGTGGTCAAGTCTTCTGAGGCCGTTTACTTTTCTGTGAAGCGGGCTTTTGTTCTATATTCGAGTGATTTGTGTTCTTTTATAATCCAAAGTTTATTTGGGATTTCTGTGCATCGATTCAGATATAAAAGCATGAGAACTTTCTTTGAAGAAATTTTTTAAGGGAGTGTTTTAAAGGGTTTTGGTCAGAGAACTCAGTTTTAATAGTCTTGATACCAGTTTATGAGTTGTGTCCCAATGGCTGACCTGGAGCAGTGAGTACAGACCCCCTGGATGGTTGCATGGTTGTCTCAGACCTAAGGCTATAGCCCAGTGTCAAGCCAGGCTCTCTCAGCTACCCCCACCTTTGTCTCTAGACCTATGTGTCCTGGTTTTTGTTTTGCCAGCATGCCAGTGTCGAGAGTACCCCTTCCCTCCAATCCTCCGCCACCTTCTCCACGGCAACAACCTCTGCTTTAAGCACCACGTCTGCAGGTGGCAGCCTGCCCAATAGCATGAACACCGTGAACAGCCTCTGCCTGGGTGGGACCACCATTAGTGCACCCAACAGCAGCACCAGGGCCACACCCCTGGTGACCTCAGGTATGTGCTCCAGAGACTTCTCCTGCCCAGCCCTTGTGTTCATATGCTCACACTGGACTTCCCAAGTGAGGCGCCAGAGGTACCTGCCAGGGCATGGTGGGTTGCTAAGCATTAGATTATATTCTTACTCTGGCCCTGCCATTGCCAGAGGGCATGTACAATATCTTGGAGAGAGAGTGTGTGTGCACTCACCGTCAATTGGGGCCTGGTCACACCACAGTCCTTCCTCCTTTTCTCCATCCTGTCAGGATTTGGGACCTGTATGCACTTGTGCCTGGCTTGTTTTTCAAGCCACGGGGTCAGGATTCGAACTGCGGTCAGCCATGTGAGATCCAGCTTTCTGTCCACAGCATTTAACCACTGCAGTCTGGTACTGTCCCCGCTGTCAGGTTTTGCTGTGTGTTCTGTTCTCTTCAGGCCTGATTCTTCCAGCCCTGAATGTGGCTGGACAGAATCTGAGTCTTCTGAGTGGGCTCTCCCTGAAGAGGATTCCTGGTAGCTTTTGTGCTTCTAGCTACCCAGACTTTTCTGTCCTTGCTCATCCCTGGAGCAGAGTTGACATGGTTGCTTGGAGGGATTGGGAACAATCTGTCATGGGCTCTTCTTGGCCACTTTGTGTGTCAGCCAAATGTGGCTAGCTGTATGGGCCAAGCAGACTTGTTTGGTAGAAACTGCCCAATCTTACCTTTGATACAGCCTGTCCCTCTCCTGGCACTGCACAGCTTCCTCTTCCTATTGTGAAGAGGCAGCTTGTTCCTTCTATTCATTTTCTTGGTGTAGTGTGACCTTTGGGATTGGGGCAGTGGAGGTGCTTCTGTCTGGGTACAGAAAATTCCAAACTGTTGGGGCATGTGTGTCTCATCTCCCCCGAACCACATCACAGCTTGGTCCTCTGTACCTTGGCCACTGCCTTCCCCTCCAGGCCACAGCCCTTCCTGGGCAGTATTGTGGCAACCATTGAGCTCAGTGACCTGTGCCACCTCCTAGAGAGGTGAGGAATCTTACTTTTGTGGAAGCTCCTTCACTCCATTTGATTTTCCCTCTGCAGGCAAAGCACCCCCAAACCTTCCCCAGGGCGTTCCCCCGCTGCTGCACAACCAGTACCTCGTGGGTCCTGGAGGACTGCTTCCTGCCTACCCGGTGAGTACATGGTGAAGTTTCTGGCTACCCCAGCTCCTCTAACTTCAGTGACTGGGACATGGCAGGACCTCATTAGGGGGTTCCTTGGGATGGACCAGGGATACTGACCTTGGGCTCTTCAGTTTCTGAGACCCATCCCTTCCCTTCTGAGCTGGTATGTCTTGCTCCATTTAGACTTCCATCATCTTTTTTTAAAAATAATTATTTTATTTAACTTTATTTTATTTGCTTATTTATTTTAATTTGGCAAGAGAAAGTGAGAAAGCAAGCCACCAGGTCTGGGACTTGAACTGTGATTGCCCATGTGGGAGTCCAGCACCCTTAACCACCTCGCCACCAGCCAGCCCCCTTAGACTTACATCTTTAAGGCAGGATCTGTTTCCTCAGCTCATCCTGGTCCCATTCCTGGGTGTGTCCCACTTCCCTATTCTCTCAACCTTGTTTTGGCCTCTAGACAGGCCTGGGCTTCCCAGGATATAGTGTGTGGTCCCTTACATGCCCTTTCTGGTCTTTGCACAGATCTATGGCTATGATGAGCTTCAGATGCTACAGTCACGGCTGCCAATGGTGAGTGAGCTAAGAAAGGCATGGTGGAGGGCAGTGGGATTGACTCTTCTACATGGCCCTCCTGTCTTGGCCTTGACTGCACCCTTCCTGGTCCTCAAGATCCTCAGCCTAAGGGTCACCCTCAGCACCACCACAGAGAAAGCCGTTTCCAGTGATGGTTCTGCCTGGTGTGACTAGAGCTTTGGCATTCAACTGTCCTACGCTCATCCCTAGTGAACTTGGGGCCTTGGTGGGTCATGCCCCTTAATAAATACAGGTCTTAATCTTTCCTCTTTACATTTCTTCCCCCTTAAGAAAAGTCACACGAGGGGCCGGCAGGTGGCATTGTAAAGGGCGCTGGACTCCCACATGGCTGACCATAGTTCAAGTCCCGGACCTGGTGGCTTGCTGTCTTACTTTCTCTCTCTCTCTCCTTGCTCACTCTGTCCCTTTCCGTTCAAATTTAAACAAATAAATGGATAAGTAGAGTTAAATAAAATAATTCTTAAAAAAAGAGAAAAGCCACATTAAAAAAAAGAAAAGGAAAAAAAAAATGCCATATGACAAGACAAAGTTTGTTTGCTCAGCTGAATTGAGTGACAGAAATTGACAGGCTGGAAGGTCCCTAGATGGTCTGGTCTCTTACCGTTATTTGTAAGAGTGCCCACGTTCCTGGGATATCCCAAGCTGTTACAGCTTCATTCTGAGACCAGGGCTGTCTTCTTGCTCTGACCCTGGGTTCTGTGATGAGCCTTTGTGTCTACCTTCCCTAGGGTAGCCATGTTAACAGGACGGAGAAGAAAAGCCTACTTTTGCCCCTGCCAACTGGCAGGATTTCCTCCTGGGTAGTCATTCTTCTTGGTCTGGCATTTTCCAGGGAACCCATAAGTTGTCTGAGGGTTCTTAGCAGTTTGGACAGTGGTGTCCATGGGATGTGGTCTTTTCCTGATCTCTGAGCAAGAGGCCTTCTCCCCAGTGGGATGTCATCTGTCTCTCTTCAAACTCTTTCTTCCTGGTGCTGCTCCTTCTTCTGCCTGACCACAAAGAGCTTATGGGTTACAGGTATCCCCTCCACCTCCTGGCTTTGGTTTCAGAAGAGCAGCTTTTCTCCCTCTGCCAGGAGATATTCCAGAGGCAGAGCCTGAGGGCTAAGTGGTTCGCCCCCATGTGCAGACACAGAAGGCTACCCATCACTCTGCTGCCTGAGGGACTCTATTCCAGATCTTCCAGGAGCACTGGGACTTCAGGAATGATGTGTGGTCCTATGTGAATTTGGTTCAGTGGGATCCAGCCCAGGATTCATCCTGCCCCTCCGGCTCTCCATGACTCTCCACTCTTGTTCACTCAACTCCCTTTCCTTTTGTGCCTTAAGGGAGATATCTCTTGAGATATATGACAATTTATTGCTACTTACTAGTCTCTACTACTATTTTCCTTAGTTCCTTTTAATTTTCTCATCTTTTATGAAAGGGCTCTCCCTTTTGGGCCTTCTCTGCTCCTTACCCCAGCTCTCTTCCTCTTAGCTCTCTGCCTTCCCAGTCTTGTCTGTCCTTGGGTCCTGGGCTAAGGATGCTATGGGTTTCCTGAAGGTTACCTGGAGATGTGGCCCAGAGGGTGTGAGCCCCATTTCCCACCAGGATGGCTTCCATCTGGCTGTGACAGGGCATTGTTGGTTGGCATGGGTGTAGGGCAACACACAAGGTTTCCCTCAGGTCTGATGCCAGGTATGTCAGGTTCTGCCAGAATGCTGGCTACTGAGTGAGGCAGGGCAGATCTCCCCTGCTCCACGGAACTCTGCTGTTTTGCCCTCTTTGCCTCCACTTTGTGTGTCTGCTCTACTCCTTCTGGGTTCTATGCAGTGTCAGCATTGCCAGGGCAGATAGCGTAGTGAAAGCCTTACCAGGGGCCTGCTGGCACCTGTGCCTACCTGGCACTGCACCTTGCTCCCTTTTAAACTTTTTAGGCATCTTCTCTCCTGCTGGCTCCTTTCCCAGGTTTGTATAGTTTCATCTCTCTTACTAGCCATTCTTTAGCCTTTCACACTGGCAAAGCCAATAAAATTGTTTGGCCTGTGGCATTCACAAGCACACATCTATGGCATAGGATGGGTGTGTGTAAGAGGGCCTCTAGCCTCTGCAGGTTGGTCATTTGCATGTTGGTTGG